CCCAAGATGATCTGTCAGAAATATTCTTCCTGCTTTATTGTGATTAAAGGTCATCCTTGCTTCACTCACACAGTATTTTCAAGTCTATCCGTCCTATTTTTACTTGAATGTATTTGTACCTGTTAAGAAGTAAAGGGGCTTTTGGCAATAGGCCACAGTATGTTGATAATCCATTATGATAAGTACTCATAAATATTCATGAATGGAAGTAGAGGGATGGATAGTTGAAAAACTTGAACTTCACACACTGAGCAATATTTCTAATAGTTTATGAGTTCATGAATTGACACATATTAGGTTCCCAAATACTTAGAATAGTGTTTGAAATTTTTTGAAAAGGAATGATAAGTTATGGAAACAACATTTCCGTAACGCCCAATTGCTTGTTGTTTTTTGTGTGTTTTTACCACGAGTATGATGAGTTGGAAAAGGAATTAGAGATGTTATTGCATTAACAATTTAATGTAATTTTGAAAATGGATGTCTTTTTTTTTTCTTTTCAGAATGTGTTGTTTCAGTTGTTGAACTGGATCAAGTTATATAAATAAAATTTACAATGCTCAACACAAGTTAATCACTTTAGATTATAGTTAATGTATGAGGCCTACAGTTTGAAAATGGATAGATGCAGTTGAAGTCTTTGAACAGAGCGCAACTCTTATCTCACATAGTCACCTACTTCCTTTTTGAGCTTGGAGCTCTGCTTTTATAAGTACCGAAGTTGAGTCAGACATAGTACAGGAAACTTTATAACTTACTAGACTTACAAGAAAAGACATATCACAATCTAATAACACAAAGACAAAACACACAAATTTAAACCATGCTCTGTTGATAAGAAAATTTTACGTATATGACGCAGTTGAGCAAGCGGTTCAGAAATATAAAGGAGGGGGATATTATTGCAAACATATAGCACCTCTATACTCTAAGCATTGCATCAGTTCCTGGCTGATTTCAACATAATAAAATGTTGCAATACTTAAAATTTAAAATACCGGTATAACATTTTTTTCAACAAATTTCATTTTTAGGATAGAGGATGATTTAATTGTTCTTTGATTCTAAATAAAATATTTCCACTACACTCAGAAGCCACTGTAAGTAAATCTCTCCATCTATATCCTTTCCCAATTCTCACCATGAATATAACTATAAACTCCAGATTGGAAAACAATGCAATGACCTTACTAGGTAAGAGAGCTATTATATCACAGGGTGAGATTAACTCTTTTTTTTTCAGCAAAATTAGTAAAGACTGTAGGGGCAGGTACTTGTACATAAAGGAAAATACAATTAACTACAGCAGAAGAAGGGAAAAATTGTACTGTTTTGAAACACTTGGGGAAACTCAAAAAATAACCCATTTTTTCTGGTTGAGTCAAGAAAGAAAATGCATAACATCACTAAAGTATGATGTCATGCAACTCTCATCACAAAATAAAAACTATTGAATTAAAAAAAAAATGTGACAAACTATGTATGGTACCACCTTCCGCAACCTAATCTCAACACATACAGATGCAGACATGATCAAAAAAATAAAGAAAACATACAACTCAGAATAAATAGGAAAACAAGGTTCCGCGTCAAAGGCACCCTATGCATGAGATACTGTTGCGATGACTGTATTGAAGGTTCAGTAAACTGGAGCAGCCTGTGTCACACTCAAGAATATCTGTGGTGTATGCTTCAGTCCTGATGAAAGAAAAGAATTTGGTAGAGGACAAACACAAATACAAAGAAAGGAAAATTGAACAATTCAAAAGACACTTACCCTAGGGTGCTATTTAACCCCCAAGTCCGCACCACAGTGTCGGTACTAAAAGAGGCAATACCATCACAACCTGGGATCCATTGCAATCCAACAACTGGATCTGTATGACCTTTGAGGTCCGCGATTACAGTGCCTTCAGCCAGATCCCAAACCTTGATACGCTTGTCATCCCCTGGGAACAGCAAAAGGAAAACTTATCAGTCCTATTCTCAAAAGCCGTTCAACAAACAACTACGGCACTGAAGAGGAATTAACAGACCTGCTGAAGCTATAAACTTTCCATTTTCACTAAATGCTAAAGCATGTACACTTCCTTTATGTCCTGGGAATACTCTGACCATTTTTCCATCCACGATGGACCATAATCTAACAGTCTTGTCTGCTGAAGCAGTGGCTAAGTAACTCCCATTAGGATGAAACTTGACAACCTGAAATAATAAATTGTAAATGTTGTCAATTGGACTAGTAAATTAATCAGAAACAAGTTTAGAGTAGAAGGGAATTTAAAAAGTTCAAGTGATTGTTCACTTACATTAACTTCTTGCTGATGACCAGCAAAAATTCTTAGGCAAAAAGTCCTATCTAGAGACCAGAGACGGGCAGTACGGTCATGTGAGGCTGTTGCTAAGTACACACTCCAAGCACTTACATCCACACTATAGATTGGGTAATTGTGCCCTCTAAAAAAGCAAAATACAGAGCTGTATCTCATGATATTTCAGTAATGAGAGATTTGAAGTACTAATTAAATGTCTTGTGATATGATACCTGTAAATTGCAGCATTAGAGAAGTCTTGCATGTCCCACGCTCTCATAGTGCAATCAGCAGAGACTGATATGACAGTGTTGGCCTCTGGCACAAAGGCAACGTCATGTACAGCATCACTGTGTCCCCGAAGAGATTCATAATTTGAGTCTTCAAAGCTGGAACATTAACATCAAATTAGAGGTACAAATAGACCAGTGGGGTAGGTAAAAAACACATCATGATAATTATAATAGTAAAGTAAAATTACCCAATTCGTTGAATTTTTCGAGGAGGTAAAACTTCATCACAGGCAAGATTGATATGGGCAGTTGGATTGTTAATAATGGGACACTCATACCCAAGGCTACGGCTACCAGGAATGGGATAGACTCTCACTTCTGATGTAACACACCCAGCAACCAACACTCTCTGGGACTGACTGAGTCTTGCACATGTAATACTGAGAATAAAGGGGACGGGATGGGAAATTAGATAGACAAATGAAGATCAAATTTAGATGATTTAGGTAGAAGGTAAACTTACTTGCAATCCGTATTTACTATGGTGTACAATAAAAGAGGAGTTGCTGTAATAGGCTCTTCTTCTAACAGCCGTACAGCCTCTTGCAATTGCCGTAACCCTTCTTCCAGATCAACTGGCCCTTCTGTTATCTGAAAATTAAAAGGAAACATTAGAATTTAATGAAAACAGACTATCACACATTTGGATATTAGATACTATTAAAATTATATGCTTAACTTCAAACTTACAGGAAATTCTTTACTACTTTTGTCAGTATTTTCATCATTCCTCAGATCCTTTTTGTCAGTAAATTCAGTCTTGTCATCATCATCTTCTTCTAATCTAGACAGGTCAGTTGATGTTGATGGTATCTCAAGATCAAACCATGTCTGAAGAGCCTGTAACATAACACAGAAATTAAATTAAACGGTTCTTGTGGTATTTTTTTTTTTTTATTATATTTTTTTTTTTTGTTGCTACTTTTATCAGAGATTTTTAAGACTGAGCAATAGATGAAATTAAAGTTAACTCACTTGAAATAATACCACATGGCCTTGTACAGCTAAATACTTTTTTAAACTTGCCAAACTTTTTGCTGATAGTTGACATTGATATTTACATGATCTAAAGAAAGTTATTGGATTAGCAAATTAAAAATGGCATTTACTATAAAAGTACTACATATGAAATCACAAACAAACCTAAAAGCCTTCACAATTGGTCTTGTATTGATGTCCTGGGTACATGTAATGTAAGAAAGTTCTTCAAGAACTTCAGTTACCCTACCAACAGTACAATTTTCAGAAATTAATGTGTGCTGGTAGCGTTTTAGAAATTTGGGTGCTAGTTGTCGATTCCCTCCTTGCAACATTTCTAGATACATATGACAAAATAAAGGAATGATCAAACAAGACAGCTCAACTCGACAATCAACTGCTGCCAAGTCATTGACCCACGTCTTGAATCTGGAAAAATTAGAAGGATAAAAATATTTAATACAACCAAAAAAGTAGTTAATCAAAACAATAATACAAAAGATGGACCTACTTATTGAACTGTTGGTCTACTTGGGATGAATCACTGTTAATGCAACTATATAAAATGGAGTTATTTCTAGTGGCATCATTTTCTATTGCAGTTGTGAGTGCCATCTGTTCTCTACTAAGTGACATTGGAACTTCCATTCTAGGATTAGTGTCCTGAACGTGAGACAATGCAGAATCTCCCTCTGCATGTCTGAAGGTCTCTGATATCTGGAAAAAATAGAAAACCATAAAGTATTAACACAAATGAAAAAGTAAGCCACCAATCATTGAAAGATCAGAAAATCGTTAAGAAAAGCGCAATGAGCTTGACAAACAACTTTGAGGGGCAAGGTTAACGAAACAGATAAATTCGAAATGTTTAATAATCAATTCCAATAAGTGATACTCTGCACATCATGTTGTACCAAATTTCCAAACTGATGTGTTGATTTCATCTACTTACAAATAACTTTATCATTGGCAACACGGTTGCACACTTAAGTCGGTGTGCACACTTGAAATTGTGGAATTTCTTAAAACGATACATACCCCGCTGTGATTGATCATTCACATCATTCAAGCCAAAAATGACAAACATCGACGGTACGACTAACCTAAACATGTCATGAAACAGGAACCAAGAACCAGACAAAGATACTCACAGTGTAATTCCGACGCTTCAGATAGGACCCTAACGCCGCTCTTACAACTTCATTTTTGGAACGTTTACAGGTAGCATCTGTCTTGGGCTTCTTTTTGTTCATGGTAACCTGTATTTGTTTACATTTGGTGCCTAACGGGAACCGTAACCTCCAAATCGGTCGCGCGAGTTTTGGCCAACCTTGCGGTGACCCAGCAGAACCAAGGTTGTAATACTTTCGTCAGGGTTTATTTGCTATCCAAAAATAAATTAAAATGAAAGAAAAATTACTTTTTTCATCTCTTAGACAAAGCAGTGTGTGTACAGCTCTTGCAAAGTGTTTTGCGTTTCAAAAAAGTTGGTGTTAAACAGCCTGTCTTGGAGGGTTTGAGCGGTAAAGTTTAAAATCCCGGAGTAAATCAAGCATTGAAAAATCAAGGACAGGCAGAAGGCAGCCGAACTATGACAAAATATTTTCTGAAAATAACTCTAGAGGCTCGTCTTATTGCACGTCAAGCACGTCGTGGCACGCAGTTGCATAGTCTAGGTCTTAAACTATGGTCTGTTCCTTGTTCGTTGATACAGCTTCTGCAAGTTTGAGTTACTGCTTTCTCTTTCCTTAATTCTTAGTTTACTCGTTGTAGCTTGAAGTGTTGCCTCTTATCACTTTCATGATCCGTTGGCACAGTAATTATTCAGATAACTTTATCTCTCTTGCTTGGAAGAAGTGTGTCGGCTTGAAAAAGGTGTCGGCGTGCTGACACATTTCCGGAATTCCCGTTCATGTATACGTTAATCCGTGTTCCATTCACCTTTTAATTCTTTGACTCAATGGTTTACTACTTTATTCGTTCATGGTAACATTTTCGAGAAATGTAAGAATCCTTAAAGTAGGTTATCTTACAAAGCATACCCTTGCGTTTATCTGCTTTAAGTGGAAAATCTCTTTCACTGGAGTAGTGCGGTCATTGACATCCCTTGACATCGGTCCCGTAACCCCATATAACCTGTTGCGTACTGTTTGTTTACTTTTTCATATGGCCAAAATGTTATTACTGGGTATTTAATCTATTGCAGGTTTAATCCATGCCTGTCAAAGCCTTCCGATTAAAACTCTACGGGAGGTTTGAGGTTTTGGAACCACTGATCTCGTTTGCCTGACAGAAAGTGTCTATTATCAAGCGCCGCGCCGAGGGAGAATAGAAGATGCCTGAGATGCCTGACGCAGCAGAGGCTCAAGCCAGCTCGTTTATCTCCTCACCAAACATGGCAAAGGATTTGAGCCCTGAGATTGTCAATTATGAAGCAGATCCTGAAGATGGGTTAGACAAGTATAGAATATCTTCAATTTCCAGTTCTATATTTGGATGATCCTCATTAACTCTTTTTCCTGCTTTTAGATTTCTTGATGTTGATTTAGGTGATGGTTACCTTCCTCCTCAATCCCCAAGAATTTACATCCGCTCATCAGCTCCCTACATTGCAGACCAAGGAATGGAACGCTATAACCAGGCTCTGAGGAGCTTGATTCCTGTGCGCCGGAAAGCAACGTTAGTTGTGCTCCTTGCAATTCGGAATTGTATCACAATTTCTCTGATTTACCTTAAAAGCTTTCAACATTTTACTTTTAGGGAAAAGAAAGATACCATTCAAGTTGATCAGGCAGGTCTGTTATCATTTGTGTTTTCATCATGGATTTCAAAGTTGATGTACAAGGCCCATAGGAAAGGTCTAGTCAGTGGTGATATTCCCCGTGGCTCTCCTCTCGATTCATGTGACTACAATGTGCAGAGGTATTCATTGTTTATTCAAGGAATTTCTTAGACTAACTTAACTTTTTAATGAAGTATTTTTTGTTGTTCAACAGACTGGAAATGCTGTGGCAAGAAGAAATTAGGAAATTTGGGCCAAGCGGAGCATCATTACCTCGAGCTGTGTGGCGCTTTGTGAAAACTCGTGTTATTGTTGACTGGTTGATATTTACAATTAGTAGTATCTTGGGATTTTTGACGCCGGTGAGTACTTAATTATATATTGTGTTCAATACTGAAGGTGTTGAGGCATTGTGAGGGAAAGCCAGGCACTAAACTTAATATTTGTTTATTTTACAGATGATTTTTATGAGAAAATTGTTGGAATTTTCGGAAGACAGTAATTCAAACACAGAGACAGGTTTAATTTTGGCATTTTCTTTGGGTCTCTGTGAGTTCTTAAGACTAATATTCTTCACCTGGAGATTTGTTTTATCATTTAGAACTGCTGTAAGGCTGCGTGTGGCATGTCTGGCCTTAATGTACAAAAAAATTTTAAGACTGAACTCCTTTGATGAAAACTCCATGGGTCAAGTAAGTCAATCAAATCATGGCATGAGATCATTCAATATGGATACAGTGTTTTTTACTCATCTGATTAATTTTCCCCCAGCTACTTAATATTTTTGCAAATGATTCACAACGAATTTTTGATATGATTGTTTTTGGTCCTATGATTATTGGAGGGCCAATGGTATTAATTACTGGAGTTGCATATGTTTTATGTACACTTAGTCCCTGGGCACTCAGTGGAATTCTTGTGTTTATAGCCTTTTATCCAGTGCAGGTGGGCATATAGGAGTAATTTGTTAAAATGAAATCTGTTTTAAATATTTACATTGCATTTTATTCCTTTCAGTATTTCATATCCTGGCTATGCTCTAAATTAAGAAGGAAAACCGTGCAAGCTGCTGACCAACGTATCAATCTAATGAATGAAATACTTACCCACATTAAAACTGTAAAAATGAATGCATGGGAAGGAGACTTAAAGGATGAAATTGACTGTAAACTAAATAGCTATTTTGCTCTGACTAAATATGATGAATTTCTTTAGTTATACTGTATTTCTGTTCTCTTTTTAAGGTATTCGCTCCAAGGAACAAGGCTACATTCAAAAGACCTCATATTTGTCAAGTTTTGGATCATCACTAGCACCAACAGTTCCCATTATGTCTTCCATTGTTTCATTTTTATCCCATTTAGGTTCAGGTAACACACTCTCTGCAGCACAGGTATGTTATACTCCTCTGTTTGCTAGTTTTGTTGAGTCATTATGCAACTGATACAGTATATCTGAAAGTACGCTGACTTTGCTAAAAGAAGTTGACGCAGAGAACTTAAGGGAGTTTTCCTCAGCAAATTCTTATCTCATACATGATGATTATCATTACAGGCATTTTCTGTCCAAGCAGTGTATTCAAACTCTATCCGGGATGTTGTGCGTTCTGTTCAAATGAGTTTAACAGCATATCATGATGCCATAATTGGACTTAAAAGAATACAGGTCACAATTCTTCTCCAAATAAACCACCAGTTTTAGATCTAACAATAGCTCATGCGGCAATGTCTAAAATTGGTGCACGGAACTAAATTTGTATCAAATACTTTTTAATGTGGGTTGCATGAGGTCTTAAAACATTATCTAATTTGAATTGGTGATTTGGGCTTCAGTATCTGCCATGCACAAATCACTTAAGTACACTTTTCGGAAATTGATTCAATGGGGCTAATCCTGGAAGTTATCTTAACTCCTGTTTAACCTAGACTGGAAAACTTATGCTCCACACTCACTGTTTTTTTCAGAAAAATGATTAGCGTTCTACTGTGTCATTCTTCAAACTTCAGCTCTGTAAGGAAGCTTCTTTTTTTTTTGTTATCATATTTACTTTTGTGTCATCTGCAGATTTTTTTTTTGAGGGGGTCGGGGTTGGGTTGGGGACTGCCTGCATGTTATAAATCTGCATGATAAGAACATTGCTCACTAATTATTGTTTTATATTGCTAGATATAACCTCATGTAGGTTTAGAAACATTTTATTACACACACACATTTGCTTTTCTTTCTAGTCATTATAGTCAGAGACTGCCTTGTTGATAATCATTAGTCTGTGATCTAGAGCCCCCTCTTGTTCATAGTCGCAAGTTAACATTAAAAGCTGCTAGACATTTCAATTTTTTGTAGAAATTACCAAGGTTTTAAAGTAATTTGTCTTTTCAGGCCTTCCCATTTGTCACTGTAATGGTTGAGCAGGCTCGGAACTTTGTGAATATTACTCAAATTGCATTAAGCAATTACATAGAGGCGGATGTGGGTCTTAAAAGAATGCAGGTGACTTACATCATTGTGAACTATATTCCATATAAAAATGTCTGCTGTTCATTTTGTGTAGCCATGATGCTGATATTTAAAACAGAATAGCTAATTTCAAGATGTCTTAAAATTTGGAATATTGTGATAGGGAAAAAATGACACAGTAATGTGTGCCCCTAGAGAGAGTTTAGTGATCATTCATTCATATTTTTTCAAGACCATGATATAATACCTGCTTGTCAATACTTTTGCTTTTAAAAAACAAAAAAGATCATAAGCACTTCCCCTGCTTTAATACCTGTATTAATTTTTTCAATTTCTTTTTAAATGTTGTGATTTGGTGCATGTTGATATGTGTAGTTTTTCAGTAAGCTTTCTTTTCTTTTCTGTGCTTTCATGACTGTTCTTATTGTTTCTTTGATTTAACTTTAATCAAAAATGTACAAATTTATTCAATTTTCCATGAAAAACAATGAAATCTTTGCATTGTCTGTTTTAGAAATGTTTGCTTGTGGAAGAAATCCCACTCAGAATTCAGAGACCTATCGATAGAAGTCAAGCAATTTCAATTGGTGGAGCTTCTTTTTGTAGAAGCCCAAGCTGGCACCCTTTATTTTCTGAAGGCCAAGGAAATAAGAGCGGAAAGATAATTAAACAGCACCTCCGAAAATCAGAGTAAGTAGATTTATCAAGGGCAAGGACACTTGTGTTTTCACAACGAGTAACAGTCTTTTCTTATTTTACTTTTCCAGTCTTGAAACAGCTACTGAAGAAAGGGAAAAGTTGAATGGAAATGTAACATGTCATCTTCAGCCTGTCCTTCAGGGAATCAATTTTAGTGTAACAAAAGTAGGCTTTTGGTGAAATATTTTCAAAATTTTACTTAGTTTGTAGCAGCTCTTTGAAGTCTTTATTATTTTGTTTCCTTAGGGTCAAATGGTAGGTATTTGTGGTCCTGTTGGTTCTGGCAAGACTTCCCTGATGCGAGCAATTCTTGGTCAGATGAGACTAATAGATGGCCAGTTTGCTAAAGATGGTTCATGCGCCTATGTAAGTCAACAAGCTTGGATAACCAATGGAACACTTCGTGAAAATATCCTTTTTGGAGAACCTTTTGTTAGCACCCGGTAAGAAACTGATCTTTTTGAATAACCTCTACATTTTGAATATGTCGTGTTTAGTGCAGTGGTAATTATGACCATAATACTTCTAGGTACTACACTGTCATCAACAGTTGTGCTTTGAATGAAGATCTGAACCAATTTCCTGGTGGTGATCTTACTGAAATAGGAGAGAGGGGAATAAATTTATCTGGTGGGCAGAAGCAACGTATTGCTCTAGCCAGGGCTCTGTATGCTAACAGGTATGGTTTTGAGACAACCTCTGCGTTACCAAAAACTTTGCTTACCTTTCATGAACTCGTTTCAATATTTATTTCCCTCTCTCAATTTATAGAGACATATATTTGCTAGATGACCCATTAAGTGCCGTTGATGTTAACGTGGCAAATCATATCTTTGAGAATTACTTCAAAAAAGAATTACGAGAAAAAACAGTTGTTTTAGTTTGCCATCAAGTTCAATACCTACACCATTGCAATGAAGTGTATTTCTTGAGAGATGGATGCATAATTGAGCGGGGAACACATGAAGAACTATTGAAGTTGGACAAAGAATATGCATCTATGGTCAAACAGGTGAAAAGTACAACTTGTGAGGCCTCTTCATCCACACCAAATACAAATGCTGTAGTCAATAACTGCAAAGAAGGAGAGTCAAAAGATGAAAAGAAAGATACAGAAAAACGGAACATGGGAGAAAGTCTACTTGTTCCTGAACCATCAAATTTGGGCAGTTTAAAAATTGATACATATTGTCAGTATATATCTGCAGGAGGCGGCTATTTTACCACATTCTTGGTGCTTTGTGTGTTTCTTGCGAATATTGGAAGTACAGCCTTCAGTTCTTGGTGGCTTGCAACATGGATTAAGGCTGGAGGCGGGGTGAGTTATCACAAATAAGTCCATGAGGGTGCACTTATCATTAATTATTCTATCTTATTTTCCTCCGCTTTGCAAACCAGAATTATACTCTCCTAGTCAACGATACAGCAGTCCTCAGTTCCAATCTAGGGGATAATCCATATTATGAATTTTATCAAACAGTTTATGCATCTACTATTGGATTAATTATCTTGACATGTGGTCTAAGATGCCTGGTGTTTACTAAGGTAAACTATTGCTCTTGTAATACTGCCTCATGATGAATCATCATTGATTATATTACAACAATAATAATAAGTTCACAGAAAAGTTGTAGAAAAGTTGTAAATGATAAATAACTGCTTTGCATTATTATATACGGATCAACATTGCAGGTGACCCTACGAGCCTCTTCCATTCTTCACAATGAGCTATTTAAGAAAATCAGTAGGGGTCCAATGGTGTTTTTTGAATCCAATCCTATTGGCCGATTACAAAATGTCTTTTCTAGAGACATGGATGAAGGTTTGTGATTTCCTGAATTGACAATAAATGTTCTCCTCTCATGAAATATTTTATTATTTTGCTGAGTAAAGCTTTCAGATCTAACCTTTTCTTTGTTTTCTATTTTTTTAAGTGGATTCACGACTTCCTGGTACTGTTGAAAACCTAATTTCGAACTTCTGGATTCTTTCCTTTGCTATATTGATTGTCTGTGTAGTTTTTCCTTGGTTTTTTGTTGCTCTCATCCCCTTGTGTATAGTATACTACTTTATGAGTAGAATATTCAGGTATATAAATTTTAAAAGTATTCTGAATCTATTATCTTATGTAAAATTTTAAGATGATTAATATCTTATTAATTTGACTGTAAAGGAAAGCGATAAGAGACTTAAAACGTTTGGAAAATACAACAAGGTCTCCTGTCTTCAGCAACTTGCTGGAAACTGCACAAGGGCTTAATACAATCCGTGCATTTAACAAAGAGGGAGAATATATTCAAAGGTAGGTGGTATATATATATTTTGTGAGTTGGTCAGGCTATGCATTTTTGTTGCTGTCATACTGTATAATAGCCAGTAGACTTGCTTTTTGTCACTGCTCATTATTGTTATTGATGACCTATTGTTGTTAATATTGTACCCTACAATATGGGTCAATCCATCCACACATCTGCCTATGTGATCTAGTATAATAGGATTTAAAAAGTGCATGGTGTGAATTTCCGACAGTGTTTCATCTTGTGGCCTCTTGCGTGTTGGTTCTTAAGTTTAAAGTTTTTGTTCAATTTCTCTCCCTAACAGATTTTTCCAGTTATTTGATGAGAATACTACTTGCAATTATTTATGGAATGTAGGAATGAGGTGGCTTGCAGTTCGAATTAATTTACTTGCAGGTTGATAACCTTCCCAGTTTTGCAGTACTTGATCATTTGTCTGTTCTTTTGTCTAAAACTAACAAACTGTTTTCTTTAATTTTTCAGTTTTAACCCTAAGCATAGTAGCTTTTCTTGTTGTTATCTTGCATGGTCATGTAGCTCCAGCAATGGCAGGCCTTGCACTCTCTTACTCTTGGCATATGAGTGGAATATTGCAGTATACTACAAGACTTTTCTCAGAAACAGAAGTGCGATTTATATCCGTTGAACGTATTTTGACCTACATAGAAAATGTACTGACAGAGGGGAAACCAACGTGTTCTAAACCTTTGCCATCATGGCCAGCTCAAGGGCGTATTAGTTTTGAAAATGTCAACATGAACTATCGTAATAATTTGCCCAACTCACTATGTAATGTTTCTTTCAATGTTCTTCCCGGAGAAAAAATTGGCAAGTATTGAATGATGATTAATGCCATTTTACCATATTGAGAGAGAACTGTGTCATGGCCTTATATTGACATGACAACTGTTAACTGTACCTGATAGATTTATTCCCTTGAACTTTTAAATTTTGTGTAGGCATAGTTGGTCGCACTGGATCTGGGAAGAGCTCCTTAACTGTTGCATTGTTCCGTCTTGTGGAAATAAATAGTGGACACATCAAATTGGATGGTGTGGATATTGCTGACATTAATTTGACAGTCCTAAGAGATAAAATTTCTATCATACCTCAAGATCCTGTGGTCTTTTCTGGAACAATAAGGTGATAAAAAAATAAAATTTGAGTACTTTGATATTGAAGGATTTATGGCCCATTCTTTTAAAGCCAAATCATCACTTTTCAGGTCCAACTTAGATCGGAAAAAAAATAGGAATGATATGGAGTTGTGGGATGCGTTGGAAAAAACGAAACTAGCAGACAAAATCAGATCATTACCTCTTAAGTTGGACACTGCAGTCAAAGGTGGATCCAGTGGTTTGTCAGACGGGGAGTGTCAGCTTCTTTGTCTGACTAGAGCCCTCCTGAAAAGCAGTAAGGTACACATGCATACTCCTAAGTAAATTTGTTGACTAGATGATACTAAAGTCTGTTTTTCCTTCTTCCTCTCATCCCCTTAGTTATGAACTTACAGAATTATGTATTGCAGGTAATAGTCTTCGATGAAGCAACTGCATCAATTGATCCAGAAACTGAGGCAGCTGTTCAATCAACAATATGGGAAGAGTTTAACATGAGCACTGTTCTCATAATTGCCCATCGCCTCTCCACCATCACAAATTGTGATAGAGTACTAGTCATGGATGCAGGAAAAGTAAGTAAAGTACATGTAAATCGAAAGAATTTTAATACTTTTATTACATTGCCTCATTAGATTGTTCACTTTAACAAATTTAGGTGATTGAATTTGAAGAACCCCAAAAATTATTGGAAAATACAAATTCATTATTTTTTAAAATGATGGCGTCATTGAAGACTCAATGAAGGCAGTATTCTGAATAATGAACGGAGAGGGTAGCGCTCTTTTACTTTTGATAATCAATTAAAAGTTGTTCTGCAAGTGTTTCCTATATTTGTTTTTATGCACCAGACTCAATTTTAAGCAATCTTGTTCATTGTTTACATAGTCTATTCTTTATCAAGCCAAAGTTAGGAAGTTACATTCAATTACTGAATGCTGTTGTTAAGTTTTAGAGTTTAGTTTCATTTACATCTCTGTAATGTTATACATTATTGCCAATAATTTTAAGACCAAGCTAAGAACAATAAATTTCTTTTTTTCTCAACTGCAGTTGCATTTAAAACAAAGTGTAATCAAAATTTATCCAATATTGCACCATTATTCTACATTCCAAGATCTCATGCGTTGATATATTGTAAAATTACCACTAGAAGATGGATAGGTTTTAACACGACGAGGAGGGTTTCTTGGAATTTTATACTCTTCTGAAAAAGTGGGAGTAAAAAACTGTGAGAGCTTTGGCTCTTTATCTTTCTCTCGTGGTCGAAACCTGCTGCTATTTCGAGATGAACTTGATTCAACAACATCAGTATCTGACACATTTAAAGCTACTAGATCATGATAAAGATGTTCTTCATATAAAAAGTTAACTTGCTGCAAAACCTATAGAAAGGAGGCAATACACATTGTCATTAGTATAGGCTTGGGCAGACATTCTACAACTGTAATTTGAAATAGATTACTCACTTTTCCCTCATCCATGAGCTTGGCACATTGGCTATTTGATGGTCTGGCCTTTGATGCTTGTTTCATTTCTTTTACAATGCGAAGAGCTGAGTTGAGACATGGTGCAGATAAATTAGTTTTGTACAAACCAGTGGATACTGACTGGGGAGCGGCTTCTTTCTTCTTATCCCGTGTATCTTCAACAATAGGTTCGTCAGTTTTGTAGACCGTAGGGTAAACTGTAAGTTCTGTGTTCCTAACCAAAGTTTTCTTTGATTCGCCTTTTGACAGTTTAGTTTTAAAGCTTTTCGTTCGACGATTTCCGTGTTCAATCGGCGATTCCTTGGTGGGCTGATGAAACAATACTCCAGGCTTTGGGTTGTTGTAACTACCCGATGAGGCCATTTCATAATAAGAAATTTAAAACATATATCAAGATTGTTTGTTTACATCATTCGCGCCGTAGACCGAACCGTCCCCCCCCCCTCCCCCCCCAGCAGCAGTCAACCCAGCAACCCAGCCAACCTTATAAAACTTAATTCTTTAATGTTTTCAAAAACTGTTGAGTAGGAGGTGCAGACCTTACACGATTTATTTGCTTTTGTGTCATTTTCTTCAAAAGGGTCTTTCCTAGCGGGGATAATGGGAGGAGTGGAGTAGGTACTAGGCCCACCGGCCAGGCTCTCCTAGCTACAGGGTAGGGCAAGGGAAGTCACCAAATATGTTTTAGTTTTTAGTGCTCTTTGTTAATTTTTATTGGACAAGACAAAGATAAAGAACGATAAAGAAGCAAAATATGCTATAAGGTTCATTTACCCACATTAACACACTATTCAACAACAATGCAACAAGTCTCTACTCTCAGCTGTATGAAGTATACATACAATATAGGAGAAAAACCGGAAAAACACCTTCTACTTAATTTTAAAAAAAATCTTAAGACTCTAGTAATTTAATAAAAGGAAATTGACTAGATGGTTCTGAAAGATAACGACTCAAAAAAGTTGAATGAAATAATTTATGCAGTGTGAAACACCAAGTTTCAATAAAATGTGGCAAAATTGTGAATACCTAATGAAAAATAATAACAAAATGAGAGCAATCATGGAGAATTGTTGACACAAAGAGATCATTATGCAATATCAGTTGATGTTTGAAACATTCTCGGCAATTTTATGAAAATGGAACAAATTTTTTAATGTTGGCAGGTCTTTCTATTCAGCACTAGATTAATAACATTTTTGGAAATAAGTAGGTAGCAAAAGGCAAACTTAAGAATTCTGGATCAACATTCGTCCTCAAGAAGTTGGATGAGTCATTTAGATGACATTTGTATATCACAATTATTAACTAACCATTTCATCCTCTACTTTATAAGTAAGAGAAAAGACATTATTTGACAGTTTCAAAATTGGAATTGGTTTGTCTTAAGAACATTCTATGAAGGTAATAATCCTAATAATGCTTCATCCAAAATATACTTAACATCCATCAAAACTTCAGGGGGTAAAAGAAGAATGAGCAGTGTCATATGAAAGCAACTGAAAGTTATCGAATCTTTAAAAACATTTCTACCTCTTCTTTTTGTACTTAAAACTTAACGATGTATTAATAAACAGTATCACAAACAGTATCTCATTTATGAAGATTCTGTAAAGCACAACACATCTATCCTCAGCAGTCTTATTTTAGAATAACTAGCAATAAAATGCAAAATGCCTCAAAAGAAAATTCATCACAGTGTCATGCAGAATAACATACATTTCTTTAAAAAAATGAAAGACATGATCATGCAAAACAGGGTCAGAACAAATTAAATTTCCATTATATAATTTTCACCTTCCTCTAGGATATGAGGCGTGGGTGACAGTGTTAATGTCAGAAATTTTCAGAATTGTGTTTAGTATTAGACACAATAAAATACTTT